AAACATTATCTCACACTGTAACAAACCCCATTTTATTTGTATTTGTAATGACCAAGGAAGTAATGAAAATATTAACATAAATCAAATCATTAATGGGATCTCATCAAATGATTACTTTCATTTACAAGAACCATTGAAAGTTTCAAATGAGACTTCCACATCAGAAACAAATAAGTGTAATATTATTGGACCAATTATTGTAAGTGATATAGTAAAAAGAAACAATTTAGAAGAACAAGAATTTCAACAAATTTTAAATGATGAAGTGTTCTTTATTGAAATTACAAAACTTAAACTAACTTCTAGTACAACACTGAATAATATTACTGGAATTCTTTCTATTCTCCAGTTATCTTCTGTAAGAATTATTCATAATACCAATGAAATAAATGCAAGTGTATTAGAAGATATATCATCAATTGATAATCTCTCTTGTTTATTACAATTACAAGGAATAAGAAAAGAAGGAAAAAGAGTTATTTGTATTTCATCAGATATTAAAACTACTACAGAAAAAGAAGATGAAGTAACTCTTAAAGAGACAGTCTTGAATAAACAAAAACATATAAACAATCATCTTGTAAATTTCTTCTCTACAAAGCCACATCAAACAGATTGTCTTTGTTTCTTACTTCCATCATGTTGTCCAGTTTCTCAAAGTCAAATCATTTGTAGATTTTACAAAGAACAAATGAGAAATATCATTTGTGAAATTCTTCATGAAATTCCATCAAATTGTAAGTCTGGTTCTTATCTTCTTTCTTGTATAGAAATTCTTATTGAGTGTTTCAAATCAATCAATGAACTAAATACTAATAACATCTTCAATGAAATAAAACGATTACTCAAGAAAAAATATGTTACAACTATTAGTTCAATCAATATGAAATTAGTTGGAATGTTTTATAAAATGAACTTAGATGAAAGAATAACTGTCATTGAAGATCAATCAAAGATAAAGATCTTGTCTATCAATTATTGAAAGGATTTATCCTATTTGGGATGTATACAGATTATTATGGTGATCACTCACTATGAATTGTTGATTCTATCTCAT